AAATCTACTTTTTACAGAGTCCGCCAGAAGAAGATTCTGAATATCAACCTGATGCTTCTAACCAAGGTATAAATGCTACTATAGTGATCCAAGTAACACTGTTCTAGTTAAGGGCGTGTATGCATTTTCATTATTTATTTTAATTTTAGAGGAATTCAGTTTAGCCATGAAAGGGCATGTCTACACCAGGAAATTATTTTAAATCTACTTTTTACAGAGTCCGCCAGAAGAAGATTCTGAATATCAACCTGATGCTTCTAACCAAGGTATAAATGCTACTATAGTGATCCAAGTAACACTGTTCTAGTTAAGGGCGTGTATGCATTTTCATTATTTATTTTAATTTTAGAGGAATTCAGTTTAGCCATGAAAGGGCATGTCTACACCAGGAAATTATTTTGAAGTAACTTATTTTGAAATAATAACTCCTGAAATAACTATTTGAAATAGTGAGTCCACACTATAGGGAAGCCTCGAAATTAGTCCGAACCAGGCTCCCCTAATATGGACTCGCTACGTCGACTTCGAGCCCCAGGAAGCACTGGGGCATAATTACTTTGAATCACCCTAGGGAGTAGTTATTTCAAATTAGCTGCTGCGGAGTGACTATTTTAAAATAAGTGTTATTCCTCATGGAAAGCAGGCATTATTATTTTGAAATGACCAGCCCCTTATTTTGAAATAACAGGCTTGGTAGTGTGGACGTTGTTTGTTATTTCAAAATAAGAGGAGTTATTTCAAAATAACTCCCTAGTGTAGACCAGGGCTCAGTCTCTCTATAAAATTGTATTGCTGACAGTTCAAAAAGTAATTTCACAGCAAAAATACTGAGAGCTCCTGTATATTTCACTAGATACACAGTAGTAAAATCTGATTATTTTACAAGTGTGAAGAAAACTATATTTTTAAGTTACGATTATCATTTAAACCAGTGGTTCCCAACTGCCAGGCTGTGGACTGCTACTGGTCCATGACCTGCTGGCTGCTGGGCCGCGGTGGCTGCCGAAGCTCAAGACGGCTGTTCATGCAGCTCAGCTCTGGCAGCCATAGTGGCTGAGGTATGGCAGGAGGAGGTGGAGCAGGAGGCCCCTTCCCCCCTCCTCCCTCTGCTGCACTTGGGGAGGAAGCAGGTGTGAAAGAGGAGGGAGCACGCACGCTGACAACGGCTGCTCCCCCTGCCTGCACAGCTGATTTTGCCACTAGGGCTGAGGTGGCAGAAAGAGGAGGCGGGGGGAGGAGGCGCCTTCTCCCCCTCAGTAATGGCAGCCTGGCTGGGGTTCTGTGCTCCCCCCTCTACCCACGGAGGTGCAAGACGTGTTTAGG